CTCGTAGTTACAAACAACCGTAAAACCTGAAGCTGCAGATTTCGTGCCCGAAATGGACAACTTATTCACATTTAGCCAGACAATATTTCCGAAGTACTCGATCGTCAGCAGCGAACGTTTTAATGTTGCAAGAGAATATACCTGTGCGGCACGATCCGAGGTAAATGAGCCGCGACAGGATGGGAGCTTTCATTTACGAGGTCGAGACTATATTCGAATTCAGCACACAGACTTCAGTTTTTTACAACCCAGTAGAACCTGAAGCTGATGATTTCTAACCTCAAATGCCCATTCATCTTTTTCCTCGAGATTTTTTTCTGGTGGGCATTAGTTAGTGTTCACCAAAAATCTTCAATTAAAGCTCACATACGAGTTTTAACTCGATGGATCCTTTCTTGCAAGAGGTCCAGAAAATCTTTGGTATGAACAGCTCTCAACGTTTTCACGTCTCCAACAAGACTGGAGTTGATGATTTTACGCCATGAATGCTAACTAACTTACCTTCACTTGAACTCGCAATATTTTAGAGTTCATTGGTCAAAAGCAGCCAAATTTACTATAAGTCACGAAAAAAATGCCTTTGATGCTCAAGTACATGAGTCGTGGCAAAGTAAATGGGTTAAAATAAGAGGTCAAGAAGATGATCCTTATTCTACTGACGACCCTTCTATGTTTTCCACATAGCAGCGTCGTCTGAAGCCTTTCCGATTTAGCGCCATGAATGCACTTAAACTTATTTAATGCACTTATTCATTTTGCTTTCAGGGCGCGAGATAGGATAAAATCACTCAACAGTTTTCGAGACAGTATAACACATTTCTTACATGAAGTCCAGAAGATAATCTGCATACTTAGTTTAGAACTCTCCGCATTTTCAATTCTCTGTAGATCACGAATCTGCGTTTTTCGAGCCTCGGATGGCGACGAAACTACTGTATATTATTTTGCCTCGCATTATTTCAGAAAGCGAAAGTTAACATAAGGCGTAAGAAAAATTCCTCCAAGGTGTAATGAGTCGTAAAAAGCTAGCAGCTCTCATATCCGAGGTCCAGAAGATATGATAATCTAAATTCAACTCACAGCCCTCTACGTTTTTCACAACTCAGTGAAACCTGAAGCTGCTGATTTCTCACTCGAGGGTATATTCCTTTATTTTCTCATAGAGTTTGTTCTTTTAGTTCTGCAATGCTTCTGTGGTCACTGTTCCCCCAACATCGACAATTTCCATAGGACACGAGAAAATGCATTTAAATAATAAGATATTCATTTTCACCTTGGAAAAAAAAAACTTCCGCGGAACATCTAATTTTTTCAACCAACAGTCTTTCCGATAGACCCATCCTAGTTCAGTAGATTCAATTTGACCCCACTTGATTATTTCCTGCCCCGCTACACTTTCGCGTACACAATTCAGTACAGTATGTTGAATCATCAGTTAAAGGATTCACAAGCCAATACAATAACAGATTCGAAACCCATAAATTAATGATTCGTCATGCGCAGTTCAGGTCTTTGAAACTTGGGACCACAAGGACGCGGTGCGCTCGACGCATAGAGATAAAGACAAAAAAGAGCATAAATAATGAAGAATTCCCCCATTTTTATCATCATCGAAAAAAAAATTACTCACTGATATGGTCGATGGATCCGGCACAAAACTTTCCATAGAATTTCTTGGCACCCAGGGCCTTGAGGTCGTGGATGACGAAGGGCCAGAGGTGGAGGACGTTGTTGCGCGAGAACCGGTCGCGCTTCTCGATCACGACCACCTTTGCACCGCACAGCTGCGCTTCAATCGCAGTCCGCAATCCACAAGGCCCGCCGCCGATGATCAGCACCTGCAAAAAAAAAAAAAAAAGTTTTACGTTATATAATTAAAAACCACGGCCAACACAGAAGCATAGCTGTTGCAGAAACGAATTCATTCATACTTTAGAAACAAGGCTTTTAAAGTCACTGTTTGCACCAAAAGCTTGTGCATCAGTGAGATAAGAAGCTGACATGAAGGTTTAGCAGATTCTTATCACCAAAGAAACGTCAAGTGTAGAAAAATTAGAATATCTCAACATTTGTCAATCAGGTCAATTTTGATATGGTCAAAGTTTAAGAACATCTTTAGCTTCGATTCAAGGTGTTGCGGAATTTTTTGAGTGTAGAATCCTCGGAGTTCGGAAGTTTGCACATCGGGAATTTCGCCATAGGTGAAGCATCTCTTCTTTGCTGATTATATTTCTTTTTGAAAGCAAGTTTTTACTTCACAATGCGATATTGTATTAGTTAATTGTGCGTGATTGTTGTCTTTATAAAACCTGTTATCAGAGACAATAATGAAGTCCTCTTTTAACATCCAAGAAGTGAGGATGCTCCAGCTTCCCTTATTTCTGCAGTCATAATGTAGTTCTGCACTTTAAAAATTAAATTCCCTTGGAGGTTGGGTAACTGCCTCAGCACTCAGATGCTTCTTGCATCTGGGATGTTATTAATGCAGCTTAAAATCTGTAATATATAGCATTTTACAACATCTAATAAAGAAGAATCACGTCACGACAAAGCCCCTGGGATCTTGAAAAAAGCTCCGTTACAAACAAAGATTCGATTAAGCGTAATTAATCACTGTATATATGTACAGAATTGGAGACGACAGGGGGTAACAAAAAAATACGTTGTAACGAAGTTCTAGTGTATACGTTGTCGTCAATCATTGCAAAGCCAGTCTCTTTTTAATTCGCAACTCGAAATGGGAGAAGAAACAATACTGCAATCTACGAACGCAGAATGCACTTTCTTCGCAGTCAATTTGGTCAGGTTCGAAGAAGTTTTGTTCATTCTTTTCAATCTGCAATTAAAGTACAAGCTTATTACTTTCGAACACTTTCAACATAAATCACAATTCCAAGTCTCGTGCCGTTGAAATGAAAATGAAACTAGGAATTCGTTCATACACTGAAATCGAGAATTTAATTTAATAATAATTATCGAAGCCGAATTTCGCGAGAAAAAAAATTGGATTGCATGATTGCTTTTGACGAAAAGACTTGAATGGCTTCAGTCATCTTTCCGAATACTGTAAGATTATTATGCATCACGCATTAGCGAAGTCCTAACCCAAAAAAGCCCGATTGCCAAGACAAATTTCAAGAGTTCATAATTTGAATGAAAGCAGTTTTTATAATACTGCATCATCCTTCCAAAGAAATGGAAATACTGTATTCTGAAATACTGTACAGTACAAATGACTTAGCTTGATATTACCGTATTACAATTAGGGCAGAAAAATGATAAATTTTATTTTCATTTCAACACGTTGAAAGCCATGCATGTCAAGACGGTTTATTTGGCTCAAACGCAAGTTTTCTTAGATTACCAGATTTTGCAAGTCCTGCATTAAAATAAGACCGAACAGATAATTCTTAGTTAAGTCCTGACGACATTTTAGGATAGAAATTATCATCAGAACTTCAGAAGTGTCTCCATTTTCGGGGAGGCGGACTACTCCGTTCGTACCTTCAGAACGCAACCAATCGTTGCGCCACGAGAGAAAAAAAAACGAAACGGATTGATCCCAGTCCATTAAAATTCCTCTCCAAATCAAAAAATAAAAAACCAAAAAGCGCTTCGAACTTTCTCGACCAATTTCATGCTCCGAAAATTGAATCCTTCCAACTCTCGAGGTTGTCTTGAAAACCTCGACGGCCTCTTACCCTACATTCACCGGAAGCGGAATTTCGATTATGAGTTGCCTCATACCGAATGGAATTGAGAACCGTAACTTTCGTTATTGAATTATCCTGGCTTCCTGGGTAAGCCCCGCAATACCGAACGAAGATAAATTTTCGAACAAATTCCAGTTAAACTTCAAATTACGATTTCCACGGAGCTCAGCAGAATTTTTCTCCATAATTTCCCATAAACTCGTTTTTTTTGTGTTTAAAAATTAGCTAACGCAGAGGGAATATTCAAAATGTATTTATTGACTTCTTCGATAAATAATGTGAATTGCAGTGCTTCTTCAACCATGATCACATCTGTCAACACTCATCCGATGCGCATGGATTAATTACAAGTTAGATCAATTTATTACAAGTTTGGACTGTACAGTCTTTGGTCAAATTGATTACAATAGTTCCTGAGATTATTCCGGATTCGGAGGTTTATTCATACACTCTCTCTGGTTGAAATCACGGAAATGAATGAAACTATTACAGACGATTCCTTTCTTCCTGTCCATGGTCCAATATTCCTAACTTAGGTTGAATTCGAAATACAGTTGAAAAATTATTCCATCTCCAAGAGGAACTGACGGGTACCAGCCACACTTGCAAACAAGTTCGCAGAGCATCCGAGCTCTTATCTTTAAAATACACTGGTCATCTTAAAAAAAATTTTTTTTACGAAGACCCTGGTCAGCGTTTCGTATGAAAAAAAAGGTTCGGAACTTGCAAATTTTTTCAAGCGATGCTGGATGCCAATCTTTCACAAAGTTTTTGATCTGTAAAAAATTAATTGCATAGGACTACAGTTCAAAAAATCCTTACTAAATAGAAGGCGGTCTTATTCAAGTCTTGTTATTAATCCCAAGAGTGTTTAAAGAAATCCAATTCATAAACGTCGACCCCTGAAGAGTTTCTTTACAAGGTACAGTACTGTACAGGACTATAAAAAGTTCTGATTACTAAACTTCCCGAAAATTAATGAAAACTTTGAAAATAAAAAATAGAATTAATAGAATTAATGCGCATCTTGAATTCATTTAATAGAATTCAAGATGCTCATTTTTCACGAAAATGAGATTTTAGTGAAGCTGGATCTTCAATTTAATAACGACTTAGTGGACTTACATTCAAAAATACCGTAATTATTTTACCATCCAGCGTTGCTTCATCTAGTATGAATAGGTTTTGAGTTAGGTTAGATCAGTTCGTTAGGCATCAGTTAGTTCACGATTACGATGAAATCATAGCACTGGTGGTTCATTCGAAAAAAGTTACGGGCCGCTTCCACTCGAAAAAAAAAACCTCCTCTAGGGCTACCCATTCACCATCAGCATAAATCGCCCTTCAGGACCCGAACCGTTCATTTAAATCGACAGAATATACCCATTCATCGTCTAAAGACTCAAAACGAAATTCATTCCCATTTCCCGTGAGAAAAAAAATGAGAAAGAAAGAAAAACAGTTCCTCATCGGGACAGCAGTATGCCAAATTATACTCGGCATGCAAGAAAGACAAGCATGGATGCATGCATGCGTTCATGGTGGCTTCCTTGCTTTGCATTTTTTGATCATCTTGGGACAGTTCAGTTGTTTAGCTTTTTTTCTGTGCTGGGCTCTCACGCGGCCGCAGCCATCCGGAACTATTACCGAACTTGAACCCCACGCGGCGAAATCGAGGGAAACGAGCTGTCCGACGGACAATTTCCCCGTTTTTTTCCCAGGGTATCAGGAGGAAATGAACCGTTCGCCCGCGCATGAAATTCCCGCATTTCCACATCCTTCCGCAAGCTTTCTTTCCTTCTTTAAAGCGAAGGAAAATAAGACACAGGAACGTTTCTTCCGACTTCTCGCGCTATGCGGACTCGGGGAGTCTCAGAACAGGCATTGGACAGTTAAAAAGTTTATACTCATTCCCGTACAACGGTGACAAATTTCTCAAGCGTTGGTGTCTTGAAAAACTTCTCATCCGCAGTTCTCGGAATAAATGAAAAAATGAATCCCGGATAAGTGGATGAATTACTGAAATCATTGTAAAAAAAAATGATAACGTAAAATCTCGTTACAACAAAGCTTTTGGGACCTACAAAAGCTTCGCAATGAAAAAATTCGTTGAAAAGAAATTCAAATAATATTGTGGTCATTGAACGCGGACCAAAAATCAAATTCGTCACGAGCAAGAAATGAAGAACTTCCACTCGCTCGTAAGTTGTGAAATCACGAAGGAGTAAAATGCTCGGTAAAAATAGCAAAGTTGCAAATACAATTGGAACAGCTCATCCCATTCTTTTTCCAAGTACGTACAGTATTTCAATATTCCATTCTCTTTCAACAATTTCGTCCACAATCGAAAAATACTGCATGCGAAGAAAATAATGTTTGCTCCCTAAATCGTCTACTTTAGTTTTTCCCCCCGACACAAGAGTCCATACTGAAACTGATCGTCGTGCTCCATCCCCCGGTTGCACGTGGCGGCGCAGACCGCGGGCAACCAGACTTCATCATCCAACTTGCGGAGTAATTGCGGGGCATTGACTCGTACGCGCGGCAGTCGAGTGCTGCTCAGTCACCTGAGATCCGCCTTATATTTTCCCGATGACGCTGCATTTCGAACGGAGAAAAACGTGTCAAGTTGCGCAAATGACATCCCCCCAACACATCACAAGGAAAAAAAAATGAAGCAAAGCTGCGTCAACGACGTGAGGAACCCGTCGCACGTCGACAACAAACCAGGCATCTGGGCTCAAGACTGCGCATTAGGCGCTCTCGACAACACCAGACGAAGAAGTACGTGATAAAGGTACACGTTGCCATGGAAAATCTTCGCGAATGATTCGATCACGAACAACGTGGGGAAATACAAGAATTGAGTTTAAACTTCTGCGTTTTCTGCCAGATCACGCAATACTCTTTCAAAAGATGTGCCCATTTCCGAGACCAAAACGGCAACAAAAAATAAAATGCTCACGTGAGTACTTCAGGAATTTACACAAAAAAATATTTTATTGGTTCACGATAGTTTGAGCACGTTGAGTCACGTTTCTGAATTTATATTCTGCGAACTTTCTCTTCTAAACCTTTGCTTTTTGTCCGAATGCAATTTTGAGAGAATTGACGAAAAAGGCAGC